ATTTCATGAGCTATTGCGTATCAAGTAGTTAGCCTTCTTTTCATAAGGTTGGGCCATTCATTATAATAGTAGGTTGATAGTTATAAATGTGTCTATTATATAAACTAGTCACAGATTTGAAAGTCAACTTGTGTGCAGCAGCAAAAGCACTTACATCTTTAAGAATGAGGTTAATGTTAGCTTCAATGTTCTTGATACCAGAGCAAAGTGCCAGAGGACAACATAGTAAAAATGTCAACTTTACATGTCATAGATATCACCTTTTCAATTCCAGCAAGGAACATCAAAGCAAAGGGCCCATGATTGAGCCTTGGGATACACTCTGACTAGGTCAGAAGTCTTCAGATCAGATTGTATTAAATTTAACCTGACAGTTGTGGCTTTCAGAAAATTAGAAATCCAGGTTAGGGCATTCTCTCTCACTCCATACTCATCAAAAGGTTCTACAATAAGTTTATCATATCATACCCTATCAAAGGCTTTGATCAAGTCCAAGAAGACAGCCACTGGGATCTTAGTAGGCCTTAAATTATGGGCATCTCTAACACTCTGGCAAAAATATAATATATGATCATTGGTACAATATCCTTTCCTATAATCACATTTTTCCTTTGGAAGCAGGTTATTTGACTCAAGATAGTAATTAAGTCTATTTAGCAATATTTTTTCCATAATTTTACATGGAATACAAATCAAGGAGACAAGGTGCTAACTCTCAGGGGAGCTACAATTTCATCTATCTTCCTAATCAGAATAACAATAGCTCATTTCCAGTCAAGTAGTAGATGACCACTCCTCCATGACCAATTAAAGATATCTAACAGTCTAAGTTTACCATTAGGGCTGAGATAAAAAAAGCATTTGACTATACCGGGTGGTCATAATTAAACTGACAGTGCTCACAGTGTTCTGTAGTGCAATCTATTTGCAAGAATGACGCCACATTTTGTAGGAAGATTAAACAAGACGGGGAACGAAGGATTCCGTGAAAAAACAAAATTAGTTCCAAATCACCGCTAGGGAATATTTGGCGCTGTGTAATAGAAAATAGAGTGTTAATGAATGCAAATCAATACGGAAATTACCTTTTATTTTGCATTCAAATGAGGTTCAATGTGGCTGCTGTTGTGGTGAACCACATATTGCATTCTGTGCACAATATGCACAGCAGCAGAAAGTAACATGTCTGCAGGAAACCTCCCGTACAGTCCGTGATATGTTATCCTTCAACGTAGCCTTCAACCACTCCTTGATAGACCTTGGACTTAAGGTAACCCCACAGCCAGAAGTCGCATGGGGTAAGATCAGGCGACTGAGGTAGCCATGCAGTTGGAAAGTAGTGGCTAATGACTCTTTCTGTTGTGAATTTCTGTCGTAGCATCTGTTGCACCCGTACAGCAACATGTGAAGGGGCTCCATATTGCATGAAAAGGATTTTCCCCAGGCATTGTCTCTGCTGCCGGAAGTGCGGAAAACAAGCTGTTCAACATGTGGCGATATTTCTCTCCGGTAACAGAACAGGTTTCCGATCCTGTCGGAGTAATGTTCTCATAGAAGAATGAACCTATGATAAATTCTGCTGTGAACGTACACCAAACAGTTACCTTTGGTGAATGTAAGGGAATTGCTGTGACTGCATGTGGTGATTTGTCATCCCAAATTCGGCAGTTCTGGTTATTCATAGTTCCATTCAGGTAAAAGTGGGCCTTGTCTCTCCATAACATTTTCCACGATCAAGCATAATCCACCTCCATCCTGGCAAGAAAGGTGAGAGCAAAAGTCAATCGCTTATCATGGTCAGGGTACAGTAACTCCTGTACACGGCTGATCTTGTATGGATAGAAGTTGATAATCTTTCGTAAGATTTTCCATACCATACTGTAAGGCATATCCATATTCCGAGCTACTCCATGAGCGCTAGAGGTGGCATCAATATTGTCTGGTCCTCTGTCGACAATCGCCGTGGCAACTGCTTCGATTGTATCCTGTGGTACAGGTTTTCGTACTCTGCCTGACGGAACCTTCAGAGAACCTGTTTTCTCAAATGTCGCAACCATTGCTTTTAGCCCATTAACTGACACAGGAGCATTACCTTTATGCATTTTTTGTGCGTTCTAAAAGCACGATAAGCGGCTGACGCGTTGCACTGGTTGAGGTAAAAGAATTTGACCAGTAACGCACGCTTGACTAAAGAAGGAGACATTGCACATAAACTTTCAATCCGATTGATTCAAAATGTAACACATTGCCTTTTAAAACCCAAGCAGCTGGAACTGTGCGAATGGATGTAACATGAAATTTGAATAAAGAACTTCTTCTGCTCAGCATATGTGATATTGCAGATCACGAGACTTTATCGGTGTTTATGTAGATTTTACGCTTTTTTAAGTGTGTTGCCATATTGCACTTGAACTAAATTAGAAAATGTGCATAATAAAAGGTAATTTTATTCCATATTAATTTTCATTTGTCTATTTTCTATTACACAGTGCCAAATATTCTCCTAGTGGTGACTTTTGGAACTAATTTGTTTCTTTGCAGAATCCTTCATCCCCCGTCTTGTTTAATCTTCCTACAAAATGTGGCATCATTCTCACAAATAGATTGTGCTACAGAACACTGTGAGCACTGTCAGTTTAATTATGGCCACCCGTTATATATTATTTGTCCCGGGGGATTTCGTCGACATCTCAAGTCGCATCCACTTCATGCATTACGAAATCAGTACGAATAATGAAATTTTTTCACTATATGAATCAATTGTTTACTCTTAATCTCAATCAATATTGGAAGAAAACCAGTGGTTAAGTTACTTAAGACAGTTTATTGGAATTTTGAATGTAAATCAGCACTTATAAATAAGACATCCAGAGCTTCAGCATTATTATTGCTGAACACGAAATGAGTATGAGAGCCATTATTCAAAAACAAAAGTGAGCTGTCATCTGCTCCCTTTAAGAGATCATCACCTCTATTATTAGTAACTGAACACCCCACGTAAATGGTGTTTAGTACTGAGATGACCTAGACAAATGATCGAAGTATTTTCATGCCCAAAATCCAAAAATGATTCTGGCAGACATCCTGGGTTAGAAGGGTGTTGCATATTAAAAATTTGCAGTTTCTTTTTATTCCAATAGATTAATATAGCCTGCATTTCAAGATCAGAGTACGTAGCAGTAGAGGAGATATCAATACTCTGGTAGGCAGCATCTCTAATTAAGAATGCCAGGCCATCTCCTTCTCTATCACAGTGAAAGATGTGGAAACCCTTAATATTCAATTGAGTGAGCTTTGTAAGTTTTGTCTCTTTTAGTACAGTAATCTGTACATGGTGGATACGACCAGATCCAGGATTTGTTCCAGCTTCACACTCATGGCACTAGTATTTACTCCATTGGAACTGCACTGAAGTATTTTAAGAGATCGTTTAGAGGGTAGAGACTGTAGTATGATTAAAACCAGAAGAAACTGGATTTATGATAAAAGCGGAAGTCTTAACAGTTTCTGTGGGCCATCAGACCTGGAGCACTTGAGAATTCTGACTTTCCTCCAAAGCTTCGCCTGCTTGCTTTTAGCTAGGCATAATGGCATAGCTTTATGCATAGGGTAACCCTACCAGGAGCTAGGTTCCTGATTACTTCACCCATCCCTCCCATTGACCCTCCTTGCTATGATGAGGCTGCAGAGCAGGACTCGAGGAAGTGTATAAACATAAAAGCTATTGTAGTCATGGCAAATAATATTTCAGTAACGTAAAATTAACATATCAAGAGCTATCTCATAATTTTCATGTGCACTTGCTAAGTATGTGCATTGGGGAAAAAGTGATGGAACATTATACTCTTTCACAAATTAGCCAATAACTAATTTTAGGAAGTTTTTACGCACTGAGAAGTATTTTTACTCTTTGAAGTATTTTTCACTACATAATTTGAGTGGTTACTTCATATATCGTGTTCAATTTATTTGATGAAGATTTTAAAAAAGTAAATCTTTTTTTATACAGATACATAATATTTTATTATTGTGCTAACAGCCTGTGAATGTATTAAATATTGTTTTAAATCAAATAAATTTAAGCTGTGTTTTATAAAATGTTACATATCTTGTACAGTACAATGTCCGTAATCTGGACGGACGTCCATTATCCGGAATGATCTATAATCTGGACCTCAAAGTCACAAACTTTTTACGCATGCGCATACATTTCGCACATATGCTTTATGCATGCACGCATTGAAAGAAATGTTTAATGAAGTAAACAAATAAATATTAAGCTTATATATATATATATATATGTTGTATGAACTTAAATCCATTTAGTGCGAATACAAGTTATTATTACTTGCGCAATTGCTGCAAAGTTAGTTAATAATAATTTATTTCCTAAACAGTATTGATTAATTGATTATATTTAAGGATTATATTTAACTTAGGATATATATATATCCTAAGTTTAATTAAAGTAGAATTATTTTAAAAGTGTGCATCCATACTGGTAAGTTATATTTTGAAAGATGTTTTGAAGATGTATTAACGTTTTGCTTTCAAATTACTTCAAAACATCTTTCAAAATATAACTTACCAATATAGATGCACACTTTTAAAATAATTCTACTTTAATTAAACTTAGGAGATAATATAATCAATTAATCAATACTGTTTAGGAAATAAATTATATATATATATATATATATATAAATTTGATACCCTTTAGATCATAATTGCTTTTTATTTCATAAATTACGGTTTCATATTTTTAATAGTATAATTTCTGCATGCCATCTTACCAGATTTAAATTGATGATCTATAATCCGGAAAAAAAACCCTAATCTGGAATCACCGAAGTCCCGACAAGTCCGGATTATGGACTTGTACTCAAATAAACTATGTATATGTATTTAAGTTTTACATATACATAGTTTATTTGAGTGTATTTCTATGAGTTTTAACTTTTCATACTTAGATGCTTATATGAAGGATAATTTCATTATAGGTGAACTTGATGAAGAATCATCTGGCTCACTTGACTATAGAGAAATAATACTACAACAGAGTGTGACTATGTTGGCTTACATGGATAGGACTACTCATAATTCCTCAGTATCATCAGGAGTGTCTGAGCCTAGAATGCTGCTTGGATTCTCTATAAATGATCTTACAATCCTCATTGGGGCTGCTATAGGTAAGATTTTCTATGCTTTCTGTCTTTTTCTTTTTGAAACTGATATTCTATAGAGCATAACTTGCAAGAATTACCATTTCTCAAATAGTGTTTGCATGCATAGTAGGCATGCGTTTGTAGGAATTATTTGCATATATTTATCATCACAATATTTATTTAAGAAAGCTCCCTAAATTTAATTTAATTGACTCCGTCAATAGATATACTCATAAACACATTATAGAGTAAATGTAATTCTTTGAAATTTAGTATGTATATTTTTACTATAGCGACTTTCAGGTGCTACTCTCAAAATATTACATCTCAATTACGTTACAGAAAAGAATGCACAATAATATATATCATCTAATGAATTATTAAATTGTTGCCACATCTTTGACACAAATTCTATAATAAAAACTAAATGATGTACAACAGAAATTAGACAAATAAAAAAAAAGAAATAATTTTTCACAGATGTCACTTACAATTAATGTTCATGCGTCACTCCTAAACGTTCTCCTCTGTCTGATCGGCATAGACATTTAGCCGGCAGGACACTTAGCTGACGGGGATATATACCTGACAAATCATTTAATTGACACGAGCATTTAACGGAAAAGATATTTTAGCTGACGGAACATTTAATTGACAACATCTATATGTAATAATTTTGATGCGTAGGTGCAGTAGCTGAGTGGAAAGACGAACAGATGATGTCATCATGAATGAATTTTGAAGAAGTCCCAATCTTTAGTTCATGCATAAAAAAACCATCTTCCAGTCTTGCTGAAATACAGTAAATCCTATGTACTCTGTTTTTAAATGTAAGATGTAGGCATCTGAGAAGCGAAGCTGCGCGGGGTTGGCAGAGCTGCACTTAGGGAAAGAAATGGAATGACGTAGTTTATTGTGCCAAGGTATTTATACTAAGTCTGATGTAATTGTAGAGACAAGGTATGATTGGTTAATTTGAGGTTGTTGTATAACATAGAAGGATCTCGAATTTTGGAGAACAGATGAATTTAGGGAGAGAACACCAAATCTGGAATCATTAATTTTGAGGTAATCAGCTATTTTTAAAGCAGCCATTGTATGTTCCGAATCAGGCCAAGGTCACTGCAACATCGAAATATGGTGCGAAAAAATTTATTTTTAACAGCGTTATAGGCAATGTGTTTTTCAACAAGTATGAAAGTGATTTAATGGCATCTTCAAAAGTGCTTCTCTTATTTGGAAAGTGAAATATCAAAAACGTGATTAATTTCTTCGGTTCCAAATGTTCAAAGTTGTTTCCATCGAAGAAATTAAGTGACAATATTGCAGAAAATGTGTTTTTATGTTACGTGATAAAAACTTTTTTTTTGAGTTTCTCTCCCGCTGCATCATTATAAATAACTTAATAATTGGTTATATTTTGAAATCTGAAAATACAACGTCGCACTGCTTTATGAAAGCATGAAATTTTAATGTATAAGTATTCTAAGATTTTATTCAGGGAAGATTATGTTAAAAATTTTGGAATTATTTCGTTGACAAGATAAGAATTTTGGAATTATTTTGTAAATAAGATTTTTGTTTAAAAATTTGGATTTTATGAATCTTCTAATCATTTTGAGAATGATGTCTATATGAAATATAAATGAAGTAATTATTAAATGGGAGAATATTAAATATTGTTTAAATTAATATAGAAATACCAAAGATTTAAGAAACTGAATAATTGTAATAAAATTTATATGGGAATTTAATTAAAAGTAAAATGTATTCAAATTTGTTTGGAATTATGCTAAAGGAATGTTATAAATATCAATAATTATGTTTTAAATATAAAGTATGTCGAGGGAGTACTGGTTCAGAAACAGAGACCTGTTTTACTTCTGCATAATTGTTCCTTTCACCCTTCTCATATAATATAAACTTTGAAGGCTCCCACTATATTTAATTTTTATTTCTTCATATAATGGAGTTTTTTTTTTTTTTTTTTTTTTTTTTTGTAAATGGAATGTATAGTTCAAAAGGAAACAAGAAACGGAGACCTTTATAAGTAACTGCCAAAGCAGTCCTTAACCACTCATGAAAATTTAGTACATGAGTTTGTTAAAGTGGCTATGCCTAAATAACTGGATATGTGTGTACTACGAGAAATCTGTGGGTCTTGAGATTTGTGTAAAATAAGAAAATTGTAAAATGTAATCATAAAAGTTAAAACCATAATTTCAAGCATGCTATTACGAATGATAAAATATTACTTATAAATATGAAAATTAGTAGTATGGTGTAAAATTTTAAGATCTATGATTATTCATAATAATTAATGGGTATATAAAATTTTTATAATTGTGATACTGTGTGTAAAAATTTTTGGAAATCCTTCCCTGAAGTAACAAAACTGTGATGTGAATGTCCCAGAAACAGGAACTTTTTACAGATAGGACTCATCTTAATAGGACTCTAAAAATGTGCAATTATTTTAAAAGAATATAGTGATTAAAATATTATTGAATTCAAAATTTTACGACTTGTAATCTTTTTAATTGTTCAAAAGCTAATTTTATGTTTTTTATTTTAAAAATTATATCTCTCATATTTTACTGCTCTAATGCTTTTCCTCTCAGAAAGGCTTCTCTATCACTCTGTTTTCTCTTTGAAGGTGGGAATGTGTTAAAAAAAATATAAGAAAGCAAACTTCTAATTTTAATTGGCTATAATGTCTTTTATTGTTTATTTAATTTGGGGACTTCATCTCTCTATCTTAAAAATGGCGCTATACGTCTAAACAGCATAATTGAAAGGAATCATGCAATCCTAATGCAGATACTTCTTGCCTAATTGTAAACCAAAACTTTTTCTATCTCAAAACTGAAACTTTTGATTCTCTCTTTTCTTCCTCTGAGCTCCTACTTTTTTCACTTAAGCCTTCCTCTTGCCAAATGCTCTTCATCCACTCTTAGTTGCCTAAGAGGACGTCGTACTTTTAAACCCATGTACATGGAAATTACTGTATTTAACTATGATTGAAAAATATCTTATCTACAGAAAGATATGATGTGAATTAGCTGCAAAAAAAAATTGTTTCTCAATATGGCCATATCTGGAAGTTTTTGGTTTATGCATTCAGAAGATAAGAACAGCATAATTCAATCATTTTTAAAGCAAAAAATGCACAGTTTACAAACATATAAGCATAAAGAAAACTGAGCTCACTGAGCCGAGTAACAGAGTGGATATATATATACATATATTTATATACTTTTGGTGTGACTAATTGCAAACAAAAAGGGAGGTGCACATCTACATGTTATAGCAGTCCGGCATACAAAATTGCAATGTTCTGAAACTGTTCGTTTTTGAGTTATGCAAGATATATACATATGTACATACAGAGGCCATGAAAATGTCTCTTCTGAATCCATTTTAAATCAGTTTTATAATTCATTTGGGAGAAAAGAGTCCTTTATTCTGTCCTTAAGTACACAATGTCACGCAAAAACATCGTTAAATTGCATTCGATAGCGGTCAAAATGGATATTTTCATTGAAATATGATACCCGAAATTTTTCGCTATTGCAATACTTCCTTCTCACTTCGTACAGGGAAGTAAAAAGGCTGTTTCCAGGGTACCCAACAAGAAGGCTTATAGATAAATACCGTATTTTTTTACTTAATGTTAAAGAAACTCTGTATTTTGAAATTAAACAGAAAAGCAACTTTATTTTGAGGTAGATTTTGAAATCAATTTCGAGAATAAATAGACATAGGGCTCCATATTTTGGTTTGGTTTATCTGATTGTGACAAAGGAAGGGATGCCTTCAGGGAGAACTTCTCAGAAGAAACTGACTTATATACATGTTATTCAAGGGTAAAACCATGAAAGCACTCATGCAGCCAGACAATGCCATTTGAATGCCAGACAGAACTACCAGTGTTCAGCAACTTATGCGTTCGATCTTTGTGTTTCAGGAGTGGTGCTTAGTATTTTTTTGTTACCAAACGAATTCTAGTGTGTCTTTACAACAGTAGATGGCGCTACTGCCTGATGATTCAATTGTGGTTGCTACGGTAACGAACTTTCCAAAGTATGTGAGTTATGTGTTCTATTTTTTATTATTGCTACAGTGCTTTGAGTGATGCATGTATCAATGCTGTGTCGTCATGAGGATGGCATTCCTTCGATTTCAAAGTGTTATGTAAAATAAATAAGTGAAATAAATACAGTCCGCTAACGCTTTGTTTTTGTGAACTTATTCTTAAACAAGTGGGATAGAAATTTTCAGCAGTCAGAAGAGCAAAACAATTTTATATTTAAAGAAATGATTTCAACAAAGCAACAAGTGTAACATAATCTGTCATCATTTATTAAAGAAGAAAATTTTTTGTTACTGAAAAAGAATCCAAAGAAATCCAATGTAGGTTACATTTGTTTTCGCTTTGCTTCACTCATTCTTTATACATAACTCTTTCGAATGCTGAAACTTTCTTTCCCACTTCTGAAATATTTCCCACCTGTGTCTGATCACTCTTCAAATTGATTTCAAAATCTATGCCAAAATAAGGCCGATTCTGTGTCTAATTTTAAAATCCATTGTTTTTGCAAGGTTAAATTAGGTCACAAATATGGTACTTGTTCATAAAATTATTAGCTCATTAGGCACACTGGAAACAGCATATTTTTTCCCCCAGATAAATATGAACAAATTTTACTGATATATTGTCACATGTTTTTTGTCTATTTGTATGCATTGTCAGCTAAACGTCTTGTTGGTTTAATGAGTTGTCGGTTAAATGCCCTGTCAGCCAAATGCCCATGTCGGCTAATTGTCCTGTCTCCTAAACATCCGTGTCGGCTTAATGTCCTTATTGGTTAAATGTCCTGTCAGCTAAATGTCTCCTGTCGGCTAACTGCTATCAGCTAAGAGGTTGTTGGCTAAGTGTCCACAACCGGAAGGTTCATTGGGTGCACATCGTGGCCACCTCCTGTTCTCATAGCCATATGGAATATGGAATCATCCCCATCTTTGATAAGCTATCTTACCGCAGCTAGGCATTTCGTAACAATATTTTTATGAATTATCAAACTAGTTCTTGGTGAGAAATGGTAACTACTTTGGTAGTGTAATATTATTAAATACTTATGGGAGCAAATATCTCTGTGTATGCATTAGCAGCTAAGTGGATAACAGTATAAACATTTTCAGATGACTTAGGCTCAAATCCCTTTCCAGATAACTATACTGTGCTTTATTGTAATCTAATGAATCCAGTATTTTTTTTTTTTTATTTCCCATTGTTTTTTTATGCTGATCGTTTGTGGTAGTATTTTTCCATTGTTCCACAAGAAACTTAACTGATTAATCCAGCCCTGGTTAATTATGATGTAACAGGCGAGTGGTCTTTTCTGCACAATTGATGACATCTGATTAAACTTTTTTGATTTATTCACATTATTTCATAGCTCTTGTAAAATGAACAAATGTTCATTATGTACAATCACCGTAGTAATTAGAAAAAAAAAATTACTGATTTTTTAAACATACCATAACCTGCCAGTTGGCCTCTCTCACCAAAAGCCAGTCTCAAATTTATTAACTTCCCATTTATATAAAAACATTACTTTTCAGTTTAGCGCTTTGCTTGAGGGCCAAGTACTACATGAAAGTTTATTGCATACATATAAGAAAATATGTGTATTTATTTTAATATAACAATATTGCATAAGTAATAATATAAATATAAAAAATGTAAATAAAATAATGAGAAACCTATTTTTATGGCTTGTTGTTTCCACTGTGGAAGAAAGCAGCCAACCCTGCCAGTGTGTGCCCAAGTTTATTTTTATATTTTTATTTTACTTAACTGTGTAACACCTGCTGTGATTAAAGTGATTAATAAAATGTATAAATATTTATTCATTGGATAATATTAATCTGAACAAAAAAGAAGTATTTTTTATTCATATTATTTCCTTTAATCCTCTAATTTTTGATAATATACTTAAAATCTTGTTATATAAATAACTGAATGAGCATTTTGTGCCAACTGCTACACAATTTTGATCATTTTAATTAGAACCATAAATTTTATTTTTAGGTGCAGCTGGACTAATCTTGATAATTTTAACTGCAGTTGTAATTTGGCACTGTTGTAAATTAAGAGGAAGACCTAACAAAGCTTACTGTAAGTTACTATGTTAGTTTTCTTTTTTAGCAGTGTTTTAGATACATAATTTATTTAGTTTTCAATTTTGCTAAAATTGTTGAAACATCTCAGTTTCTCATTTAGGTCTGGATAATTCAACCCCAGATGAAAGCACATTAAAGCAAGGAAATGGGACAATACTTCAAAGGTTTGAACCTGTTTATATTTTTGGCAGTTAGAACAAGTATGCATTACAGTGGTTTATGCATGTTTATATGTTAAATATTATTGCCATATTATTCAGCTTCCCCCCTCCAATTTAGATAAATATATATTTATTTGGAAAAGGTGTAACGAATTTCTACAAACATTTTATTAGTATAGTTTTGATGTTGAAAGGAGAAAACTTTTCTATTAAAAAAGAAAATTAAATATCTTCTCTTATTTATTCAAATTACTTTTAAAATTTCATTTTTTTTTTTTTTCCCTACCCATTTATTTTGAATAAGTAAAACAGTTTACATGAATACCATTTTATTTTTGAATACCCCTACCCATAATAATGTACAAGAGACTGTATGTTGGAACATGTATTTCCTTATATATAATTAGCAAAATATTTATAGCTAAATGCATGAGTATGTGGAATAGACATTAAAAAACATACGTCTTGCACAGTAGTCCACATTTTATTGTGTTTGTCCTAGTTGTATGTACTTTAATTCTAATATCTCTTTAGACATTTCTTTGCAAATTATGCTATTTGTTTGTTAGTTATATTCTGGGTAACTGAATTCTTGTGCACTGCCAGTGATTATATGTAAAAGTAACCAAATAAAATAAATTTTGTTTAAGTTGGCATTATTTTCTTATATTAGTTATTTAATATTTTGAAGGATATATATAGAGTTATATCATAATTTTTTAACTTAAAGATGGATAAATTATTCTGCAGTCTTCAGGTGAAAACCATTTTTCTTCAAGTCTTGAAATAATCAATTTTTTTATAAATGAATAATAAGGTTATTTTTCTATCTGAACAATAATGTATTTAAATTCACTAACTATTGTCTTAACTGACACTCTGCCAAAACAGAAAAATGCACGATTGTGGAATAATGCATGCTTCTGTTTCGGCATGACATACTAATTATAAGGGTGAGTCAAGTGAAAGTGAGCCAATGCGAATATATGACAAACAGAGTACTTTATTTAAAGGTAGTCTCCATGAACATTGAGACATTTATCCCATTGACAAATGAGCCGTGTGATCCCCGTCTCATAAAACTCCTTGGGCTGTCGATTCAAAAAGTCTGTAACCGACTCCTTCACGGCATCGTCCGACACGAATTTGGTACCCATGAGATGTTTTTTCAGTTTCCCGAAAATGTGAAAGTCGCATGGCGACAAATCTGGGATGTATGGAGGATGTTGCAGCGTGTACCACTTGAACTTTGCCAGTTGTGTTTTAACCACATCAGCGACGTGGGGACGAGCATTGTCGTGTAGCAAGATCACACCATTCGTCAATCTTCCAGGTCGTTTGTTCTTGATTGCGACACGCAGCCGATCCAGCGTTGCACAATATCGCGAACTATTGATAGTCTCTCCACGTTTAGCAAATTCAATCAGTAATGGCCCCTGACGATCGAAAAAAAAGTCAATAGCACCTTTCCCGAGGAAATGACAGCCTTTGCTTTCTTCGGGGGTGGTGAATTCAAATGTTTCCACTGTAAGCTTTGCCGGCGTGTTTCAGGTTTGTAGTGGTGGCACCATGATTTGTCTCCGGTCACGATTGCAGACAAGAAGTCGTTACCCTCATTGTGATACCGGATGAGATGAGTCAAAGCAGCGCCGAACCTTTCCGTCTTCTGGTGGTCGTTCAAAATCTTGGGCATCCATTGAGCACACAAAAGCCGATAACTGAGATGATCATGAATTATGGTGTGAACCGAACCGTGACTGATGTTCACACTCTCTGCCAGTTCATCGATGCTTATCCTCCGTTCTTGTCTAATCAGCTCATCAACCTGTTCAATTGTGTCGGGGGTGATTGCAAGGTGGCTTTGGCCCGGTCTTGGATCGTCTTTGCAACTTTCACGTCCTTCTCTGAACCGTTTGCTCCAACGCTTCACAGTGGCCAATGCGATGCAATGTTCACCGTACACAGCAGTCATACGGCGACTGATTTCATGTTGGGAAACACCTTCAGCTGTCAAAAACCTGACCACACCACGCTGTTCCTCTTTTGGAGTGTCCATTATGTCACGCTACTGTCTTCAACCCAGTGTAAGAGCGCCTTAAAGAACTTTAACCTCACACTTTTGCGCCACTTTCGTAAATGAAGGCTGTCTCTGTGCTACGCGCATGCACCGCAGATGATGGACCGAGCCATTCTTGCTGAGGAGGGGTTGGCTCACTTTCATTTGACTCGCCCTAATATTTGAATGACATTTTTATAACTTCACATTTGTTCCTCAACTTGTACTTAAGCTGTTCTTGCTGCTTATTATTTTATTTTTATTTACTTGTAGCCTTTTCACATATGCAATAAGAAATTTTTCCAACTGAAAATTTCTTTCTGCATTGATTTGAACAGTAGGTTTCTAGTCAAAACAGTTGGGCTCAGGTGTGTATTACATATATGTATCTAGCATTTTATGAGGCTAGAGAAAATGTTTTGCCTGTAACTCTGTTTCACCATAAAAGAAAAAGGAGAGAATATACTTCTAAGGTTGACTTCTGCATAAAACTGGTTGACTCATCAACCAGTTTGATTTCCTGGAAATGAAGATTTCCAGAAATGTTTCTTTTGATGCGCAGTTGAAAGTAGCTAGAAAGTCTGATAGAAAAAAGTGTCTAATCAAGTTTATCCAAACAGTGCTGTAAGTAAATGGGTTCAGTTTCGTGATCACTCAGTATAAACTTAATTTTAATTTTTGTAAACTCTTGCTACCATTAGAAATCTAGACTTAATTCAATTTTTCTAATTTTGCATAATAAATTCAGCAGTTCTTTTTCAAATCATGAATTTTTTACACAAATAAATTAAATAACTTTTCATTGACTGTTTAGAGGCTCAGATAAGTTTAGAAATAATAGACTTTAGAATCATAGTTAAATAATATAGCATAAATAATGTAGCTGTGACCTGATATTCTAAGCAGAATATGACTTTAGTGTGAACAGTGAGGTTGATGGAAACATTAAGAGAAAGATTTGTGTTTTACAGTATACTTTTTATAATGGTGAGAATATTTGACACAAAAATAATAATGAAACATTAAAGATAGAGATATGTATGGTAAAAGCTTGTTTATCCAGCATTCAACTAATTAGAAAGCTTAAATGTTTTAGAATTTCGGAAAAACTCCCCCCCCCCCACCATCAGCAGACAAAAGTAAGCAAATGAGAAACTTGTGAAGCACATAGACAGACTGTTGCCAAACAGTAAGATTTAATGGGAATACAGCAAAATTTTAAAAATATCCGTTGCTTTAAATTTCTCCAAAATGATTTATGCTAGTCAACTGGAGTTCATAATCATATAATTTGTTTTAACTTTTTATGTGTCTAAAATATGTTTTAACTTTTACATGTCTAATGTTTATGAAATATGTTTACTTTTAAATTTGAAATGTACTTGTTCTTCCTTCAGAATCTTGCATAATTTTAAATTTAGGCTTTTGATATTAAAAAATTAAATGATTTTTTTTTATATAATTTTAGACCAGACATTCCTTTTTTCCATTCATTTGGCTTTTTTATCAAGTTACATTTCTTATACACTTAGTCATCTAGAATTTTTATTTATCCAGCATTCCTTGAGCTTTTCAGATAGCAGAGCGTGTACTATCTTACCTATCTATAAACAGACTGATTCAAAAACTCTCTGGCTAAAGTAATTAAAAGTAAATTTGAAAGAACTGTAAAGGTGCTGATGTTTTAATCGAAAATTCTGGAAGTAACCATAATACATAGAAGTAGTTTTTAAAAATTTCAGTTATAAATCTTGAAATATCCCTGATTTTATTTGATGTGAAAAGCATGTAATATATGCAAGAGCTGAATTCTTGGTGATGATGTATGCAGTCTACCACTTTTAGTTACTTATTTACCTTTTAGATTGTTACGAATTTAGTATTTAAAAAGCTAATGTTAGTTCAGTTATAAATTAAATGGTTTTATTTCCCGCGCATTGCAGCGCGTGATGAATATTAAAAGAAAGCTAAGCCAGAAATTTGAAAATGCAAGAGCGCGTGCATGTGACATTTAATAAATATCTATTTTTGATTTCGAGAAAGTACTAGAAAATTCTCGCCCGCGATTTTAAAATCTTATAAAAGGAGGAAAACCTCTCAGTTTGTTGTAGTTACTCAGTTTGTTGTTGTTTAGAAAACTGCTCTTGTTAATTGTAGCGAATTCGCAGATTAGCTTTCTTTAGCTGTTTTGAGTTAAGTTCTGTTGAATGTTTGAGTAGTTAGAAGATAAGTACTGTGGTATATTGTGATACTGCACGATTATTTGAGGACATTTAATCATTTTTATTGTGATAATAATAAACTTTTGTCCATTTTTCATCGGACTTGTGCATTCATTTCGTAACGAACCCGTACGCACGCAACAATTTTTGGAGTGGGATTTGAATGCTAATAACAAGAGCGATGGAAGAGCAATTAAGGCAATTAATATCAACCTTTGTCTCGTTTAAAGAAGAAATTAAAGAGGAAATGAAATTAGGCCAGGAATCCGTTAAGGAAGAAAATGAAATTGGGCCCAGGAATCCGTTAAGGAAGAAATGAAATTGGGCAGGAATCTGTTAAGGAAGAGATGAAATCCGTTAAAGACGAGATGAAAGCAGGTCAGGACAAAATGAAAAGAGAAATTACCTGCATAATAGAAAAGAAATTTGAGGCTATGGAAGGCAGAATAGATGCGGTCGAAATTAAAGTTGGACAAATTGAAGAAAACGTTTCTTCTGTCAAAGATCAAATAGAAGACAGAGTTTCGGCCGTGGAACAACAAATAGGTTACAGAGTTGATTCAGTCAAAGAAGAATTAGAAGAAAGAGTTTGTTCCGTTAAACAACAAATCGAACCACAAATTGATGAGAGAGTTTCTGCAGTTGCCAAAGAAATGGATACTTTAAAGAAATTCGTAGCGACGGTAGGGAGCAGGAGTGATGATTTTAAATTCTTACCGATGCCTGCTCGTCCATTTCTGAAGCTATCCACATATGATGGGAAGACATCCTGGCAAGTGTATAAGACCCAATTTTCTACAGTAGCGGATGTGAATGGATGGGATTCCCAAGCTAAGGCCTGTCATCTCGTGCTTGTCTGAGAGCAGACACAGCGGATATCAAGCAGACGCTTCCCGAAAACCAAAGACTTGACTTCGAAGCTCTATCCGGCGCATTGGAGCTGCGCTTTGGTGAGAAATGTTTAAAAGACTACAGCAGGCTTCAATTAAAATCCTGTCAACAGAAGCCCACCGAATCACTCCAGGAACTCGCCACAGATGTTGAAAGGCTGTCCCACCTTACCTTTTCGGAGTGCCCAAAAGAAACGAGAGAAATCCTGTCTCTGTAGTACTTCATCGATGGCATCTGGGATACTGAAATACAGAAAGCTCTGCGAATAGCAGATGTGAAGGACATAAAAAGCGCTCTGTTGTACGCCGTAAAAGTCGAGGCAGCCCATCAAGCAACTCGTAGAGATCGCTACCCAGTCAGAGCTGTGCGAGTCCACGAGCCAGTGGATCAATTGATGACTTGTTTAGATGATTTATCCAGACAAGTCAATGCTTTGATACGAAGTAGCAGTGAGAACAAAGTGGCTGTAAAGTATTGGAGATGTGTTTCTGAAGGTCACCTACGACGGCATTGCAAAACACCCCAGGTCACGGATAATAAAACGGATGAGTTGACAAGACCAGTGAATGCTTTAAGACGGAATAGTGGTGAAAAGAAACCGACCCTAAAGTACTGGAATTGCGGTGTTGAAGGTCACCTATGAAGGAACTGCAGAACACCCCAGAGCATGGAAAATAAGGCATACAATTTAAACAGACAATTAAATGCCACGGGAAGGAAAAGGACTGGCAAGATGGAACTGTGGAGCTGAAGGCCACGTTCGAAAGAATTTCAGAACACCCCAGGGTCTCAGCAACGATGCAGGAAACAAATTAATGACCATATTAAGGAACGGAGGTTGCCAGATAATGAAAAACCTTATTTTAAAGCGCTCAAGATTTCTACAATGAGGGGCAACAGTAACAGACTATCCATCAACAGGCATATCGATGGAGTTCCTTGCAATATGATCATTGACACAGGAGCTAAAGTTACCATCATTAGAAAAGATTTAGCTGAACAGTTTAAAGATAAACTTATTTGGATGCCCTCCTGTGTTACCCTTCAGACTGTGTCTGGTGATAAGATCGACATAGTTGGGAAGTTAAACCTGAACATCACGTTTGGAAGTGCCGCCTACCATCACGCGGCATACGGGGAGGATATTACAGATCCATGTATACTCGGATTGGACATTTTAAGGAAATATAATTTTTCCTTAGACTTCAAAAGCAATAAACTGTTCTCAGTGTCTGAGGACATGACGATCCATCTTCAAAAGGGATCATCGCTTGGAAACGCAAACGTCTCATGTGAAAGACCCTACTCAGAAAGCTGCAGCAATCATACTAGGGTCGGAGAGAAACACCAGACTACCAGCTATTCTCCATCACAGATGCTCTTCGGTCGAGGCCTTCGTCTGCCTTGTGACCGCCTGTTTGATCGCCATACGGATGCGCCTTCATCGCCTGAGGAACACATCCAAGATGTCAAGGCCCGTTTGAAGTGATGCACCGTTCCGCACGAAAGCGGGTGAACTTGCTGACGGAGAAAGTGAAGTCCAGGTACAACACGAGAGCTACTGAACATAGATCCAACAAAGGAGACAAGGTGTGGTTGTGGAACCCGATTTGACAAAAAGGAGTCAGGCCTAAATTACAGTCACCTTGGGATAGTCACCACACAGTCCTAAACAAGGCTGAATAAAGTCGTGGTTCAGATCCGTTGGAACTCTAAATAAACCTAAAGTCATTCATTACGACAGGTTATCTCATTGCTATGGCCATAGTACGTAATGTAAATAATTGTAAATAATGTAAGACCATGGTCCTTTTTGTTTCTAAATGTGTATTTAGTATTTGATTTGTATTTTGTATATGATTTGTATTTGATTTGTTTTATTTATTGCATTTATTGTTCATGTTGTTTATTACTGTAATGTAATGCTTATTATTGCATTTATGCCACAGTTGTAAGTTTGTCTTCCTGTCCAGGGATTGTACTTCCCGGGATGTGCAGTCCTTGGGAAGGGGGCAGTGTTACGAATTTGGTATTTAAAAAGCTAATGTTAGTTCAATTATAAATTTAATGGTTTTATTTCCCGCGCAGTGCAGCACGTGACGAATTTTAAAAGAAAGCTAAGCCGGAAATTTGAAAATGCTGGAGCGCGTGCATGTGACATTTAATAAATATCTCTTTTTGATTTCGAGAAAGTACTAGAAAATTCCCGCTCGCGATTTTAAAATCTTATAAAAGGAGGAAAACCTCTCAGTTTGTTGTAGTTACTCAGTTTGTTGTTGTTTAGAAAACTGCTCTTGTTGATTGTAGCGAATTCGCAGATTAGCTTTCTTTAGCTGTTTTGAGTTAAGTTCTATTGAACGTTTGAATAGTTAGAAGATAACTACTGTGGTATATTGTGATACTGCACGATTATTTGAGGACATTTAATCATTTTTATTGTGATAATAATAAAATTTTGTCCATTTTTCATCGGACTTGTGCATTTATTTCGTAACGAACCCGTGCGCACGCAACAAGATGATGGGACTAAAATTGGTTGTTGTTTTGATCATTTCTTTTCTCCGCCGTTTTATTCCATGTTTGAGTTTAAAAATAGCATTAGTGGAACCATCTAGGAAATAAACAGCTAATTTAAAGCAGTAAATCGCATGCTGAAAACACTACCAATTTTTTTTACTCGTATCTTGCAAATGTGGAGGAAATAGTCATGTTATAAATTATTTAGATTTTCTTTTTAAATTTTTATTACTTTGGACTTGCATATTTATCATCATTATAATTGCTTATTTTTATTTATCATTATTATTATTGTTATTTATTTTTCTTTTTCTAGTGATTCTGTTGTATTTTTGGGATCAAAAACAAATCAAGTGTCTACTCGGGCAGTGGGAATCAAAAGTGACATTTGTCAGTCAATTCTTACTCGTTCTCAATCCGTTCCACTTAAAGAAGGAAAAGAAGTAAGCCTTAAACTTTTTAATTTATGCTAGCACACTTTATTATACTGTGAACAATTATTTTATGCAGTCCTGTTTATGTGTATTTTTATTACTATTCTGAATTCTTATTGGTAAAATTTGAAATATATTTTTGTATATTAAGTGGATGATTTATTAACTTGCATATAATGAGATTATATATGTGATACAAAATGAATATCCTGTGTACTTTGCATCAATTAAATAAATAATTAAGATGGGATTCATATTTAGAAGGTTATAATTAAAAATACGAGTTTGTATGTTTGTTTCATTCTGTGTCTAAAATGCAGCAGTTTTTTTTTTTTTTTTTTTTAATTTCTCCCATTAACTGAATGTCTAAATTTGCTACATTATAAAAAATGTTATAACTGTGATAACATTATAAATAATATCTTCTATGTAGTCTATTACAGGATGTTTTAAAACTATTTAAAATTAATTAATGGAGCTAACTTTATGGGATGATATGATGCACCAAAACAAACACTTAAGTAAAAAAAAAAAAAGAAATCTACAAATGCTTGATATCATGAAGTAAAATCAAAATTGTATACAAAATATGCAAATGACATTAATTACAATTATAAAAGTTACTCAAAAGGACTTCTGTCATTTTTTATGTTTGCTTTGCATCATCAACTCAAAAATGTCCTTATGTTCTGAAACACCCAGACATTTCTTGGAGGTCTGCTGCATTGATTTTAAATCTGATGACTAATTTCTCATTAACAAGAATCTTATACATTGTGTATTTAACATATTTCTGTAAAAAGAAATTCAAAAGGAGATAGATCTTTTGTCTGTTTCTATAAAATGGGAACTTCAAGGTCACTGCCAACTCGCCCTATTTGCAATTGTGCCCATCATCATCACCTTAGAGCACTTATTTGTATTACTGCATTTCAGACCGTAGTTCAAGTCAGATTTCATTCATACTCTTTCCAAAAAGCAAAACACACTAAACAGAAATAGTGTAGGGAGACAAAATTAGGTGATTCAAACTTTCTGCTGTGTTTGTCATTCCCATGGTTACGAAGCAATTTGAATGGCAGAAAATGAATTGAAGTTCCTTAAAATTATAGACTATAGTGAGATCAATCAGAAACCAGAAAATGTGGCAAAAACTAATAACCTGAAAGCGGAAATGATTTGGCATTTCATCTTATTAGAGCCGCATTTCGTAGTAGGCAGCTGCTAGTTACTTTGTTCATCAATTCAAGAAAGATTTGTTGAAGGAAAATAAGGTACACCATCATATTCAGGTGCTCTTGTAAAAGGTGTAGGCTAATAGAGATTTATCTTCTTAATTTACAGATATTACAGATGCCTTTGTTTATCTTTTTAATTTCTAGATGATACTGATTTAATTAAAGTATGCAGAAAAGTAAGAAAATCAAGAGAAAAATAATGGATGAGAAAAAAATGTTTTCTTTCGTGATTTTATTTTGCATCACAAGTTTGTGACTGGTAGCATTTCAAAAGTGGCTTAATAACTGGTGTATATCATATGAAAATAAAATAGAAATTGTTTGCCACAGCAGCAACAACAACAATAACAGAAGGAAAAAAAAAAAAAAAAAAAAAAAAAAAGAAAGAAAGAAAAAGAAGAAACTGACCTATAATAAGCAGAGTGGTTGACTCTGCTTATTATAGGTGTTCAATTAACAGTGTTCAATTGTATTTGTACAGTAAATTATTCTGATGATTTTTTAAATTTATTTTTTATTTACCAAATTAGAACATTTCGGACCTGTTTTATAATTTATATTTAAATTATAATATTATAAAATCAGAAAATTTAAATTTCGGAATTTGGCATATTAATATTTCATATTATTTAAGGTCTTGAACTCGGACTCAAACTGCATGTGGGCCTAATTTACAGTTTGAAAGCAGCTGATGGGCTGCGATTTTTTTTAACAAAATAAAATTTTTTAATGAAAGTTTAAAATTTTATTTACTAAATATTTATCAAAACATACATAAACTGTAATAATAATTACACTAAGAAAAACTGAAATTTATACTTTGTTTTTGTGTGTAAAGGATGGTTTCTAGCAAAAATTTCTGTTGATTACATGATGTAATTCAAATGTTTTGATAGCTCAGTATTAAATTTTTCAAACTGTTATTCATTTCAGATAATTGTAATACATTGAATTAAACATTAATAATGTATTTTTTAATGTAATAAACAAATTATTAAAGCTTCCCAAGTGGGAAAAAAATTGAGAACAAATAATGACACCTCATTTTTTTATTTATTAAATTTTTCTTTGGTGCATTCAGAAAATATATCTATCTATAAATAATTATAAACTTCTTTATCTCTTACTACAATGTTCAGCTACCTCACAGCAACATCTCATGGCATTTCGATTTTGATGCAATAATAATGTTAATTAATATACAGGAAATATATTCTTGGGCTGTGTAAAATTGTTTCAGGGGCTGCATCAACCCCACTGGCTGCCACTTTGAGACAACTGTTATAAAGTACAAAATTGATATTATTTCTAAAATTCTTCTAGGTATCAAAACCTCACACTGCAAGCAGGCAGTTCCCGAAGCGTAGTAGACCTACCAGCCAACCTGTTCATTTGCCACATTCTTTTCAACCAGCAATGTATTCACCAAAAAGAACACACTCTGTACACCCACATAATTATCACCGTCATGTGGATGAAGCTGATATGCCCTTGGCACTTCCCAGTATACCAGAAGTAGCATTCAGAAGTTCTGAAATTCTTCATGATGCTCCTCCACATATGTTATACGCTTCTTGCAATGGTGAGCACTTGAGTTAGATTCTAAAAATGTGTATAAATGTGTAATATGTTTTCTGTATTTTTTATTTCTAATTTCACAAGGGTTCCCCCCTCCAAAATTAATTTATTATAATAAAATAAATTTAGTTTTGAAAATATGTGTACATTTTGAAAATAAAAATGTATTCTGTTTCGTTGGCAACTAAGCGATTGCGAATTTTGTCAATAGATTGTGTTCAAAGCACCTAACTTATACTATTTTCTTGTTGTTTGGACTTAGTAAGAAAAATTGTATCATTTAGTTTTGTTTTTATCCCAATTCAAAAATGAAACAATGTGTGTTTTAGATGTATTTTATTGTAATACAGTGCAAAGTCCAAAATCCGGACTCGTCGGGACTTCGGCGATTCCGTATTCCGTTCTGCCAGAGGTTGGTTTGGCCCCCTCCTGATTAACTTTAAGCTTGTAGAAAAGTAAAAGTTCCAGTGCAATAAAGAACCCATATACAGTCAAAAGTCTTTAATCCGGACTCGTCGGGACTTCGGCGATTCCGGATTATCGATTTTTCCGCATTATAGATCATCAATTTAATACTGGTAAGATGGAATGCAGAAATTATACAATTGAAAATATGAAACCATAATTTATGAAATAAAGAGCAATTATGATCTAAAGAATATCAAAATTTACAAAAAAAAAAAAAAAAAAAAGCTTAATATTTATTTGTTTACTTAATTAAATGTTTCTTTCAATGTAAGTTGTTTAAATTGCTTCGTTTTTTATGCTAATACTTTCTCTTTAATTCTATAAACAGACATAATTTCTTGTTCAGTTACAAAGTTCCACTGTCCAAGTCCTGTAATTGCTGTGTCGAGAATACCAACTAACTTGTCAATCGATATTTCTTCGTTTTCAATAACCTCTCCATCACGTCCTTCATTATCAGTAGTGGTATTTTCTGGATCTAGAACAATACTACAGATTTCGCCATCCGTTAATTGATTGATGATTGGGGGGATTGTCATCACAAACAAACACTTCTTTTATATCATCTTCATTTATTACCGCTTCTCCACATTTCTTTACAAAATCCAATAACTGGAAAATTTCGCTTTTAGTTTGCGATATCCGAAAACTTTCAAATTCGTGGTTATCATCTTCATCGCTCTCACCATGAAATATGGTAGTTAGCCATAAATTATGCCAAGCATTTTTTAACATATCTGGAGATACACCCTCCGACGATCTTACGATGCTCCACACAGCAGATTTTATTCTGAAATATTTTAAAATTTCTTGAATGGTCATGCCATTGTTCAAGAAATTTAACATAGATTTTTAAAATGCTATTTTGTATTTGCATTTCAGCGCATGCGCTATTTTGATATCGATAGGCTGAATGACAGACGTGCAATTTGGAGGGAAGAATAATATGGATACATTATCTTTCACTAAAATTTTAAGTGAATAGTTGTCTACAATCAGGACTACTTTTGATTCATCAGGTAAACCAACCAAATTCAAATGTTGCCGAGTCTTGGGTATAAAATGATTTTCAAACCAATCATTCATTAATGCTTGTGTCATCCGTGCTCTTTTACTTGCATGATATATACGGGGAAAATCGTTACTCTTTTATATGCTCGAGGTCTTGCATGTTTTCCGATAACGAAAAGTTTTTACTTGTGCTTCCCTGCAGCATTTGAGCATGCTGAAATTGTTAGTCTTGCTCTGGAATTTTTGACACCAGTTGAAGCCTTTTTGGTAGACGCTGCCAAGGTATTTCGCTGAACATAATGCCAGAAAAGACCGGTTTCATCAGTGTTGTAACTTTGTTTTGGAGATAATTGTTCACTAGTAATGAATTTAATGAATTCATCTGCAAATTGTTCAGCAGCTTCAGTATTAGCTGAAGCGTTTTCACCTGAAATTTTTAATTGTCTTATACCATGGCAAATTTTAAATTTGGTTAACCAACTTGTCGAATATGTGTACTTAGTGTTTAAGTTCATTGCTTCGTGAAGTATTTCGGCTTGAGCCATTAGCATTGGGCCCGTCAATGGCATGCCCTCACTGCAATGGCGTTTGACCCATTCAATCATCACTTTGTCATGATCATCACTTTTAGCATAATAAACACTTTTTCTGTTATTCATTGCGAGTAGGGTGTCAGAATTCACAAAAAATTCAAAAAGTTCTCTTTTCTTTTTTTCTTATGTCATATACAGTTGACTTTTGCATAATTTTGAGACAGATTATGCCTTTATCCATTTTTTGCAGCAATTCCACTTTTTGTTTAATGGACTTCGAAACATGCTTTCGCTTTGTAGATCCTTTGGCAGCTCCAGAATTGGAAACTCTTTTCGACATAATTGAAAGTTCAAGCTTAGTTTTTATAAAATTGCTGTAATAATAAGCTGGATCAAATTAGAAGATTAGGGAGCAGTGCAGTCTGCTACATTAAATGAAATGCCTTAGAATCAGTAAAGATAATTTTAGCTTAGCTTAATAGCGTCCGTTATATATTATTGGTTGAGTATCGCAAGATTGGCAAGAAAAGCCAAGTTGTTCTGGTAAATTTTGTCTTGCTCCTAATTGCGTACTGAATTAAGCTTCAATTGCATTAGTTGTTTACTATACCTACATTTATTCCTTGCACATGCTTAAAACTAATCTGAGTCATAAATAAACTCCCACATATACTTAAGGCTTTATCTAGGGCCGGCACTAGATACCGCCTGGTGCAATCTTTGCGGGTTCTAAATTTTCACTTGTGCCTAAAATTAGGATCCCAGTGCTTTCCCTAAATTAAAAAAAACTTCTCATCCCTTTATTTTGCCGCTCGGTGCTTCCCCAAATTCCAAAAATTTTATCTTCCCTAAATACTGCCGTCCTATGCGGCCATATTCTGCCGCCGCTTCTGGGTTTATGGTGAATAACACATCAGTTATTCTTAATTAAAGTAGCACTAAATGTAATCTTTTGGCCTACGAGTTTCATTAACAAAATCTGTTTTTAGCATATGAAAAGAAATCTTTGTTGAATTTTTCCTCATGAACATTTCTTAGAGCATTTAAAAATCTATAATCATCACCAAGCGTAATGTTAGCAGAAAAGGTTGCCTTACTCTTCTTATTCAGTTGCTAATATATATAAGTAAAAGTTTAGACATTGCTGCATGAATCATTACTGAATCTGTCGTGTATTGATAAACAGGTGATGAAAGCAAAATGTAATGAATAATGACTTGCCAGGTCGGTGTCAGGGATATAAAATAAGTGAATGTTTCGGTTTTGAGATGTAATGTCAAACAGACGTTCAGCTATGGAGCCAAATTATTAATCTCACAAATTTAGGCTTACATGATTGTTTTTTCATAATGTGGTATTTTATGTAGTGCCTAAGTGAAATTAAGAATTGAAATTTTTAAGTGAAAATCTCCACATGTTTTATTTTGTAAGGAAAAATCAAATGCGCATGCGTAAAGCATACCAAAAAAAAAAAAAAAAAAGTTTGTGGCTTTGAGGTCCGGATTTTAGATCATTCCGGATAATTGAACGTCCAGATTTCAGACTTTGTACTGTATTTCAAAAAAGACAACAATGCATTGCAAGAGTGCTAGAAATTATGTGCCATACATAGGAATTAAACCTCTAAAGAAAGACAGTGTTAAAATTGGTTTGTCAAATTTTGCTTTAATGCCTTTTCACTCAAAATTGCACAACAGCCTAGCCATCCATTTCGAGTTGATGAGAGCCATATGAAGGCCATTATCGATTCAGATTGTCATAGCACGATATGTGAGATTACAGAAAAGCTCAGTGTCTCGCATACATGCATTAAAAAAATTATTGCATACAAAATATAATTCAAGAAATTAAATCTATGATTAATAAATAACATATCATAGCATGATTTATATTTTTAAATTTTATTTTATTTTGAAAATTAAACTACTGTTTGATGCAAACAGTTCGCGTTTAAGAGGCTAAAGGGCTGCATGAGCCACATGCAACTCTTTAGCCTTAGTTTAGCAGTACCATTTATAGTAATGTTCAGTGTATGAGGAAAAATATTAGATAAGTTATATATAATAACTTATCTAATATTATATAAAAAATATCTAATATTATATTAAAAATATTAGATAAGTTATATATAATAAACTTATCTAATATCTAAGTTATATATATAAATATTAGATAAGCTGATATATCTAATGCAAATTATTCATATCTTTGATCAGTATATCATTGAAATGCAAATGAATGTATTTTTATTATTGAATCTGCTGAATTTTTCCTTAGCTCTGGATGGACCTTGCATTTACAGTTCTTTATATACTAATATTGATACTAATTCTACAATGAAGACTCGCAGTCTACCTTTATGGGGACGTTCTCGTCCAAGACCTCTTTCAACTGAAGATGATCTAAATGAATTATATGCAAAGGTATGTGAAGAATTTAATAAATATAACTTTTTGAAAGCTTTTATGTAATTATATGTTAGTAGAATGTTGTGTGGATTTAAATTGGAACATTATATATAATATGTTATGTAAATATAAAGATCCTGGTGTTTTTTTTTTTTTTTTTTTTCAATTTGTGTATGGAATGTTTCACTAGTATTGGAAAAGTATTTGCTAACTTCTCAAAGATTTATGTAATGTATTTGTTTAAATTGAAATATTTAATTTAATATGTTATGCAAATTTAAAGTGAAGAATTTAATTATATATAATCTCATATTGTCAATATGAGAATATTTGACAACTTAGATTTTGAAGATTCAAAGAAAGATTAATAAAGAATCAAAATGTTCTATAAATTTATATTTAGTATCGTTAAAATAAAAAACTCAATAGCTTCCTGGTTCTGTAGCTATATCTAAATTAATTCCATTTTCAAATTTTTAAATCTTTTTAGGCAATGTATGTGTTGTAAATTCATAACTGTTTTTTATATTTTCTTTAATTATTTGCCCTGAAATTCCCATGGTTGATATGGTCTCTTCCCATGAGTTTTTTTTAGGCCTTTCAGCATAGAGAGCTAAGCTCTCACTTTGGACACTCTTGAACATCCAGAACCCTTCTTACTTTTTTGTGTCTCTGAACTAGCTATACCTTGTAAAGCACCTGTTACTAAGTATGAAACTGCAAGTTTAGCAGTAGCTATTAACGGAGCATGAATGCAGCTAAAAGTGATAAAATCCTTCATTTTTCTTTGTGTTTTTTTAATCATAATTCTTTTACTTTTGCCCAATTGATTAATTTGTGTTTTTGTTAAATACAATTCATAATTAGGCATTTTAGATTTACAAGTCTGTAATGTTAAGTAAAATCAGAAGCATCAGCTTATTCAGTTGCTAATATATATAACTAAAAGTTTAGACATTGCTGCATGAATCATTACTGAATCTGTCGTGTATTGATAAACAGGTGATGAAAGCAAAATGTAATGAATAATGACTTGCCAGGTCGGTGTCAGGGATATAAAATAAGTGAATGTTTCGGTTTGAGATGTAATGTCAAACAGACGTTCAGCTATGGAGCCAAATTATTAATCTCACAAATTTAGGCTTACATGATTGTTTTTTCATAATGTGGTATTTTATGTAGTGCCTAAGTGAAATTAAGAATTGAAATTTTTAAGTGAAAATCTCCACATGTTTTATTTTGTAAGGAAAAATCAAATGCGCATGCGTAAAGCATACCAAAAAAAAAAAAAAAAAGTTTGTGGCTTTGAGGTCCGGATTTTAGATCATTCCGGATAATTGAACGTCCAGATTTCAGACTTTGTACTGTATTTCAAAAAAGACAACAATGCATTGCAAGAGTGCTAGAAATTATGTGCCATACATAGGAATTAAACCTCTAAAGAAAGACAGTGTTAAAATTGGTTTGTCAAATTTTGCTTTAATGCCTTTTCACTCAAAATTGCACAACAGCCTAGCCATCCATTTCGAGTTGATGAGAGCCATATGAAGGCCATTATCTATTTACAAGTAAAATCAGAAGCATCATCTTCACTGTCTGTTTACTGAATAAAATCAGCTTTGCTTTGACTTAAATATCAATGAAAAAAATAATAATTAAAGATTATTTAACCATGTGAATTTTTTGTTCAAATTAGCTTTGTTTATTACCAACGACTTGACAGCAACACTTGACAAAGAATCAGAACACAATTTATTCATCAGTATTTCTTAGGACAGTTTCAAAGATGCGTTACAGTCATAAAAAAATTATGACGAATATCCTGAAACTATCATAAACACAGCCTCCAGGCTATAAAAGTGAAGCCAGCTTCATCGCAAAGCACTAAAGTACAGCTCCCAACTCAGTTGATTGCTTTCGAAGCTCAACCCACTTTTCATGATACTCTCACGATAAACAATGATACACTGCTCTGATATGAGATACTCTTCATGATAAACAAGATACGCTGCTACTCTGCATACAGGCAGAGTTTAGATATATTTTTTGACCTCCTTCGAGAATATTTTGGAGGAAATTAGTAAGGATTTGTTCCAGAATGTTATCGCTCCATCCATGGCATATCGCCAATTTTGTGGCCAAATGGGTGATTTTGTGCCAAATCTGGCCACTCGAAGCCTGCTTTGCAGGGGAACTATCATAGCGCAGCTGAGCATTTTGCAACACTACCCCCTCCCAAGGACTGCATGTCTTGAAGAGTACAATCCTCGGTCAGCAGCCAATTTCAAAAGGTGGCAAAACGAACAATTAAAGGAAACAAAAATAAGATAATTAGATATTTTAACTATTTACAAGTAATTATGTACATGTTATATACATAAATTAACCACATAATTTTAAATTATACAAATTAAAGTTCAAATTGAATTTCAGTCTCAGGTTTTTCATCAAGTTATACCCGGGTTAAATATTTTTTCACAGCAGGTTCTCAGATGTATTTCTGTTTTGCATATCACAATCTGACGATTCAGCCCTTTCAGATTTATCATCCTCAGGAAGATCTGAAATAGTTTACTCACCACCGTGTAGTTTATTCACATCACATGTACACTTGACCTCAATATTTTTAGCAGTTAGTACATCCTTATTTTCCTATATTTCCTGAAGACCAAATTTTTTATTAGAGTTATGAATAGAATCCGATTCTTTATAAACACAAGTATCCTGGTTTAGAATCAAGTCCTTGTTTGCACAACCTGCACTATGAAACACACACTCAGTTTGTGAAGTGTGTGCATTTTCTTGCAATACTGGAACTCTCTGCTTAAACTGTACATCAGCTTCTACCATCTGTGCATCATGTGGATTTTCAAATGGTTCAATACTTGCTGACTGCGGCTATCAGTTTCCGCCAAATTAACAGTCACATTTTCACATTCTTCCACTTCTACTTCAGGCACCTATGAATCAAAAGCTTCTTTCCTGTCATATTTCTTAATGTTTTTGTTCTTTTTCTTTAATCATGTTAAATGTTTCATCCATCATTTCTTGATTTTCTGAGACACTTCACCAGCTACTTCCTTCATTTCTTCATCCTCTGACTCTTTAGATGCCAAGTCTGTAATTTCCACATCTTCTTTTATGGCTGCAGTTTCTTTTGTAACCTCCACTTTCATCTGTTGTAGTTGTAGCAGCTTTTCTTGGCTGGCCCAGCTTTCATCTCTTCTTGTACGGCTTCAGTCTAGCTTTCATGTCAGCCTTCATCTCTTCCAGTCCAGCTCTAACAGCTGCTAAGAGGTTCATCAGAACCTTCGTTTCCTCCGCCATGGCTTTCTCATTTAGGCAGGTCACTGGCATTCACTAGTAAATCACACCAGTTGTTGTGTTCTACGGGTTCATGGATTTGGAGTGATTGATGACAACACTTAATGAAAAATCAGAACACAATTTATTTATCAATATTTCATAGGACAGTTCCAAAGACATGCTACAGTCATAAAAAAACTACAATAAACACGCTGAAACAAAGCCTTGAGCTCAAGATACTCTTAACAATAAACTCAACTGCTACTCCGCATAGAGGCATTGGTTATATAACTTATGACCTGCTTTCGAAAACATTCTGTGGCAAACCAGTAAGAATTCATTCCAGAATATTCTCGCTCCATCTTTGGCATATCACTAATTTTGTCGTCAACTGGGCAATTTCATGCCAAATCTGGCAAACGAGCTTTTCCTTGCGATTTTATGACAACCCTAAACCCACTTTGCGAGGAAGCTATACTTTTGCAGCTGGGCATTTCACAACAATATTATAATCCAGGAACAGGTTATTGTGGAACTAATGAATTAAAAAGGAAAACAAGATTACGAAAGAAAGATGTTGAGAATATTTACATACATAAGACGTATATGTGATAGAAACCAACTATTTGTAAATTATATAAAAAGATAAATTTATGTGCCTGATGGTAATAATCAATTTGATGCTGATTTGCTATTTATTAAAAATTATAGTAAATATAATGATGGAATTAATTATTTATTAATTGCTATAAATGCATTTAACAAATACGCTTCGGCATTCTCTGTAAAAAGAAAAACATTTGAAGAAGTAGTAGAAGATTTCAAGCAAGTTTCTGAAGAAGGAATACCAAATTTTATATTGACAAATGGAAGTACTGAATTTACTGCAAAAGTTACACAAAAACTATTTCAGGATTATCATATAAAATAGTTTACCAACTAAAAGTAAAAAAGAAAAAAAAGGGGGGGTGTCTACTGTAACAGAAAGCTTTAATAAAACTATCAAGGGAAAATTATAAAATATATGATACCATGTGCTGACAATATTAAATATAAAAGTTTATTACAGTTTATATATATATATATATCCTTCAAAAGATAAAAAGAAGCCGCAAAGCTTGTGCCTCAAAAAAGAAACCTAAATATAAAATAGGAGTAAAAAGGCATAAAACAATTAATGACTATGATAAAAAACAATTCATGACTGTAGAAGATCTAACTTTTATGGAAGAGAATTTTTATTGTAACAGACGTTGTAGAACCGAAAATATCCCCATATGGATACAGTTATAGAGTAAAAGATTTAAATGGGGAAGAAATTGAAGGAATATTTTATGACAATGAATAGTAAAATATAATTAAAAATGACATATACAAGATTGAAAAATATTAATAAAGAGAGGAAATAAGTATTTAGTGAAATGGTTAGTTTATTCCAAATCTTGCAATACTTGGGTAGATATAGACAAAGTCTTGCACTTAAAAGACACAAGACTTCTTTTCATAAATGATTTTACTTAGTTTAAACTCCAAAGATTATAAAAAATCTGAAGATTGTATTATAATTGTTTCATAAGAATAAATTGAATTTAAATAAATTTAATTTAAATACAAATTTAATTATATACATCATCATTAAAATTTAGGAAAACTGCTTTAAAATCATTTTTAATGTGGGTTTCTCTTAAAATTATAATAGTAACAGGTTT